GTACGCCCGGCACCCTCCCCGCCAGGACCCCCCCCCCCCGCCAGGACTCCTCTCCCCCCCTCGTCAGCCCCCCCCCCCCCCCTCGCCAGGACTCATCTCCTCTCCTCTCCCCCCTCTCTGCCAGGACTCCTCTCCTATCCCCCCTCTCTGCCAGGACTCCCCCCCCCCCCCCGCCAGGACTCCTCTCCTCTCCCCCCTTCCCCCGCCAGGACTCCTTTTCCTCCCCCCCGCTAGGACTCCTCTCCCCCCCTCGTCATCCCCCCCCCTCCCCCCACCAGCACTCCCCCCTCCCCCGGCAGGACTCCTCTCCCCCCTCGCCCTCCCACCGGCAGGGACGTCCTCTCCCCCTCGCCAAGCCCCCCTCTCCCCCTCGCAGCAACCCATTCCCCCCGCCAGGACCCTATCCTTCTCCCCCCTCTCTGGCAGGACTCCCTCCCTCCCCCCTCCCGCCAGGCTTCATCTCTCCCCCCCTCCCCGTCAGCCCCCCCCCCCTCCCCCCCGCCAGGACTCCTCTCCCACCTTCCCTCCTCGTGGCACGTTCACTTCGGCCTCCTTTTATCCGCCGATTCTCATGCCAGCTTTCGTGGCAAGTTCCCTCTTGCCGGCCTTGATCCTCGGCACGCGCTCTCCCGCTCCTTGTGCACCGGATTGCTAAATGAAATAAAAAAATAACACCCAGGGAGTAGAACAAATGGTCAAAACGCACCCAGTTAGTGTTGACGGAGTTAAGGCGTAAAGTATAATGAACACTCGTAAGCAAATAAAGACACAAGGAGTCCGTTAATTGCCCTTCCCCGAGGACGCGCGAATGCGTGTGCTCAGCGGAGAGGTCGAGGAAGGCGCGGGCGGACGCAGCGCTGGCACGGCCGCCGCTAAGGAACTTTTTCCTTATCCGGAGCGAAGGGGAATAGATGCGTCAGATGCTGAGCAGGAAAACGTGCCTCGCTGTTGCTCAGATCCCGCGCTGATTAGCTTAGTTGGTGGCCGCCGGATTGACCCGCTGGAGGATGACCGAGTGGCCTGGACTGGATGCTGGCGGGTGGACTGGCTGGCCAAGGTGCGGGGGGGAGGCTTCTCCCTCCCTCCCTTCCTTCCTTCCTTCCTTCAATCCTTCCCTCCCTCCCTCCTTCCTTCCTTCCTTCCTTCCCTCCTTCCTTCCCTCCTTTCCTCCTTCCCTCCCTCCTTCCTTCCTTCCTTCCTTCCTTCCTTCCTTCCCTCCCTCCTTCCTTCCCTCCTTTCCTCCTTCCCTCCCTCCCTCCCTCCCTCCTTCCTTCCCTCCTTCCTTCCCTCCTTCCTTCCTTCCTTCCCTCTTTCCCTCCTTCCTTCCCTCTCTTTCTCACTCCCTCCCTCCCTCCCTCCCTCCCTCCCTCCCTCCCTCCCTCCTACCCTCCTTCCCTCCTTCCCTCCTTCCCTCCTTCCCTCCTTCCCTCCTTCTCTCTCTCTCTCTCTCTCTCTCTCTCTCTCTCTCTCTCTCTCTCTCTTTACATATATGTGTGTGTGTGTGTGTTTATCTAATAGATATCTCTCTCCTTTTATCTAAGTGGCAACTATCAGTGTTTTTTTGCTAAAAGGGAATTTAAAAAATCAAGTGAAGATAGGTTTCGTGAATTTCATATTTTGTCCACATGTATATATTATGTAAACTTGGAGCAAAGTTCCTAAACGAGTTTCTCAGGAATTTCCATGAAGATTATATGAAGTTCGAGGCCTGCCTTGCGAAAGTAATGGAATCCTTACGGCGCCGTTTCCGGGGCCCGCTGGCGGAGATCGGAATCAGGCTGTTGCCTCGCAGTTTCACTTGTCATTTGCTTTCTCGTTTGCCACGTCATATACCATGTGTCTTTTCGTTGTCTTACTTGTTTAAGTTACGTCGTGTTTTTTTCTTATCTGTGACGTTGTGTCTTGTATACTTTTTCTTAAATGTAGCATCATACCTCATATCGTCTCTTTCGTTTATGTATTTGTGACGTCATGCAGTAAGTCTGTTTTATGAGACATGGCATCGTAGCATGTATTTTTTCTCTTTCTCTATTTTGTGACGTCACTTCGCGCGTCTTTTTCTTTATTTGGTGGACGTTTTTTTCCCGCCTGACACTTCACATCGCGTCCACGGTGGTTAATACCCGCCGACCGCCCGCTCGAGGTCGTGCGAAGATCAAGCACTTGGCGAGGTGCATGAATTTGGAAGCGGCGGCCGCCTCGCATGCCGTCCGCGGCGCCAGATATTCGAGTGGCATTTGGAGAGAGAGAGCGCGGGGGGTAGGGGGGGGGGCACACGATCATGGGCCGCTGGCGTGACACCCGGACGCCTGACCTGACCCGAGTGACGTCAGCAAGACTAACTTCCTTCCTCGACCTCGATTCGGGACAGGCTGATGAGGCAGGCTTATGGAGGGGCCAGGGTCGCTGGGCTCTCGCGCACACGCCCGCGTTTGTTTACACGCACGCACACACACCTACACGCACACACACACACTCGCACACACGCACACGCACACAC